ATTATGACTATGTCAGAGTCACTTTCAGAATAAAATCCCATACTGTTTGCAGCTTACAGTAACAGTGGGGTTTTCCTTGTGCTAGCATAGCTGGTTGGTTGTTTATCACTGGGGCTACTGGCTCTTTCCAGGCTTACCTTGTGCTTATGGAGTTTGGTCTCCCCAATCCAGGGGAACTGGGATTAACATTTCAGACTGGTTTGTTCTGTTCTCCATGCTGTCTTCTGTTTCTCCATTATTTTCAGAATTCATATGCTCTCTTTTTTCACTCCTGGAGTTCTCCTTTTTTCCTCACTAAGTAGTTGTTTTCTAGATGTCTCAATTATGGGTTTCAGAGTGGCTAGGATCTACTGCCAGCTTTACCCCCATGCTGATTCTCCTCCCATCCTTGCCTTTTGTTATATGCAATGCTAGGATTCAGTTCTGTTTTTTTATTACAACATAAGTTTAAGACTGCACAAGTATTTCTTTTCCTCTCAAATCCTTCTACCACTTGTATACAGATTTGCCCCCCGCTTGCACAATATCAAATGCTAGCAAGCAAAAAGATAACATATTTTGCATACTATCTACATAATATATAACAAGTTTAAAGATATAATTGGCTTTTATTTGCAGTTCTTGAATTAGATGACACTTCTTTTCTTTGAAATGGAACAAGTGCTCTAATGAGCTGAAGAGAGTTTGGCTGTATAAACAGAAAAGGGCAGAAGAAGGGAAAAAGAAAATAAAGAAATGTTAATAATGTCAAAGTTACTTTCTTTGTAATGTTAAAACAGGGAAGCCTTCCTTATGACACTAAGCTTTCACGACACTTAGAACAAGTGATTCCCTTCTGTTTTGGTCTGGTCTTTGGGAGCCTATTGCAGAAGACTAGTGCGAAAAGAAGGGGCTTCCATACAATTTGCTTCACAATTTCTCTATTTAAAAAAATTTTTTTTACTAAGGCATAAGTGGTACTCTCAGTCACCATCATGTTGAATTTTCAGTTTCAATATGTCATTCATAAGGTAGTGTCCTCATTGTCACATATTTCCTTGATTTTTCATTATTCTGTCCACACAGAAGGTCCATGTAGAGTGTAGTACATGTCTAAGTATAAACATGTAAGACTTCTTGAGAGAAACAGCACAGTGAGGAAATTATTACGATGACTGTCAGGACGATAATGTAAAGGGTTAGGAATATAGTCCTTGTCTCTGGGCTCTCTATTCTTTTCTGTATCTGTTTTTAAGTCAGTACTCCGATATTGCGGTTGATAAAGCTTTGTGGTATATTTTCAAGTTAAGCAGTGTAATGCCTTCAGCTTTTTTTTTTTTTTAACTTTGTTTTGGTTTTGTTGTTGTTGTTGAGTTTTGCTTTGGATATTTCAGTGCCTTTTTTTTTTTTTTTTTT